ACCCTAAACAACCCACCACAGACAGAGATAAGAATATTTATCTTGTTTATGTGCACCAGGATATTTTCCCAAAATAAACCAGTTTGACTCTCTTCCAAATCTTTTGGTAGTTGTTGCTTCTCTGCCAGACTTCCTTTCAACCATCTGGGAGGCTTTATCTCACCGACCCACTGAGGAATGCCTAGTGTTTCTGTGGAATCTGTTACCTGGGACCAGACCTGCCCTTCAATTCAACTGGCACAATTCTTCCAGCCTCAGTTTCCACATCTATCTTAATGGTTTAAGGTGAATCCATATAAATTCTTCTCACAGGAGCCTTACAGACAATTTTGAATTTAGTTACGGGTATCAATTGCATCCCAAACAGCACTTCAGCCATGTCAGTATTGCATCCACCCACATTTATCCAAATTAAGGCTTCTACCCCTTCCTTCTCTGAGAACTGTAACACCATTCTGGGTCCTCCATCTTAAAAGTTTCCCCATAAAATCATGCACCACAGAGTCGTCTCATTTTATCAGAGCCTATGCTCCATTACAAAAGTATGAGCTCTTTCAAGTTTGGATTCTAGGGTTTGCATGAGGCCTACATGGTGCAAACTGATTGGTTCTGCTCCAGGAATGATCTCAAATAGGTTCTTTGGGATTACTAAATCATGACCAAAATACAACCAACGAAAGGGTTCATGAATAATCTCACCAACTACTATCCTAATCTCGTTACTAATTTTTTTTCCCAAAACTAACTAAACAAAACTCTGACACAGTCTGACTAGATGGTTGAAACAGTTCAACACCTAATATAATTTTTGTGGATCCCCACAATCTCCTAGTTGTTGAAACACTCCCAAATTCAAAGTTTGTCTTCATGAGTGTATAAACTAACTGCGGCCCCATCTAGGAAGCCTTGGTTTTCTTTCTCAGTGAAAATTCTTCTCACACGGGTTGCATGCCCAAGGTAAAATACCTCTTTCTGAAACAAAACATTTTTCTTTGACTTCATTTTAGACTAGTAGCCTTAAGCTTTTAACAGTTTGTAAACATATCAGTTCTTGTTCAAAGTCTGAGCATGCATCCCGATACCACTTAGGTAGAACAGGCTGAGGCAGGTCTGCTCCACAATACCCTCTCGTTTAACCTTCAAATATGGCTGACATATTGCACAAGACAAACGCCTTCGCACAAAACTGCCAGAGGCCTTGACCTGCTACAAAAGCTTCTTCCTTCTATGACTGGCAAATGGCAAGGTTTGATACTAAAGGAAACCAGCCCATTTACCTTTTGCTAAATCAGTGTGGTTCAATTTCTATCTTTGCTGGATTGGGATTACTTCTATTCCTAACCAGATAATAGTTGGTATGGCAGTTCCAGAAATTCAGATAGCTTGAATAAATTATAAAACCTTATTCAGATGTCTCATTGAGGAAAATGTTACTATTCACCGAGGATCAGAAGAAATCGCACTTCCCCCACCAATAACCAATGCTACCAAATTGGAAGGGTTCATTACAGCTTTGTGTCCTCCCACTTCCTGCTCCCCTCCCAACTCATATTTTCAAACTAACTCCAGAGCACTGTTCCTGCTTAAACTAAGGGGAGCTTTGCCACTGCCTTAGAAGGGTACACAACAGAACCACCCCCCTTCCTATATAAGTTCATAGCTCTGCAAAAGTGAACTGAATTCTTTTGTTTCTTTTCCTTAGAAGAATCCATGTATTTTCTACTATATAAAAAGTCAGCCAGGCACTTAGACTGCATTTCTGTGCTAACCTGTAGGCTAAGATCTGTTGTCATATTTTTTTAAGCAAGCAGTTTAATAGAAAGAAACATGTGGGTCTGACCTCTACGTAATTTTTGACAGTAAAACAAAACAAACAAGTCAAAGACAACATATGTGTATGGGCTCCTACTACGTTTTCAAAAGATAGGTGAGGTTTAATAGCTACCAAGAACAAAAGATAAAATACTACATAAGGCTTTGTGTTTCCTTCTAGTTGTTGAAGTCTTGAGGAAATCTGTATATAGCTGCAGAGCACTTTTATAGTTTCATAGTTTCTAGGGTTGGAAGGGACCTGAGTAGATCATCTAGTCCGACCCCCTGCCATGGCAGGAAAGAGCACTGGGGTCAAACGACCCCAGTAAGGTGGTCATCCAACCTCCTCTTAAAAACCCCCAGGGTGGGAGCCTGCACCACCTCACTTGGAAGCTGGTTCCAGACCCTAGCCGCCCTGACCGTGAAGTAGCGCCTCCTGATGTCCAACTTAAACCTTCCCTCCGCCAGCTTGTGACCATTGTTCCTGGTCACTCCTTGCGGCGCTCGGGGGAACAGGGACTCCCCCAGCGCCTGCTGATCCCCCCTAACCAGTTTATAACAGGCCACAAGATCCCCCCTCAGCCTTCTCTTTTGAAGGCTGAACAGGTTCAGGTCCCGCAACCTTTCCTCATAGGACCTACCCTGCTGTCCCTTGATCATACGAGTGGCCCTCCTCTGGACCCTCTCGATGCTGTCCACATCCCTCTTAAAGTGCGGCGCCCAGAACTGGACGCAGTACTCCAGCTGCGGCCTGACCAGTGCCGCATAGAGGGGGAGGATCACCTCCTTGGACCTGCTCGAGATGCATCTGTGGATGCACGACAAGGTGCAGTTGGCCTTCCTAGCCGCCTCCCCACATTGCCGACTCATGTTCATCTTGGAGTCAATAATGACTCCCAGATCCTTTTCCACCTCCGTGCTGACAAGAGGGGAGTTCCCCAGCCTGTATGTGTGGTGCCGATTGTTCCTCCCCAGGTGCATCACCTTACACTTGTCTGTGTTAAACCCCATCCTGTTCTCCTCCGCCCATCCTTGTAACCTGTCTAGGTCCAACTGTAGCCTGTTGCTCCCCTCTATTGTGCCCACATCCCCCCACATCTTAGTGTCATCAGCAAACTTGAACAGGGTGCTTTGCACCCCCTCATCCAAATCACTGATGAAGATGTTGAACAGGGCGGGCCCAAGGACCGAGCCCTGTGGGACCCCACTTCCCACGTCCTTCCAGGTCGAGAAGGACCCATCCACTACCACCCTCTGGGTGCGACTCTCTAACCAGTTGGCGACCCATTGGACTGTATGGGTGTCTACGCCACAGTCCCCCAGCTTCCTAATGAGAATGGGGTGAGAGACAGTATCAAAAGCCTTCCTGAAGTCTAGGAAAACTATATCCACTGCCACCCCTGCATCCAATGATTTAGTGACCTGGTCGTAAAAGGCCACCAGGTTGGTCTGACAGGACCTGCCGCTGATGAACCCGTGCTGGTTGCCCCTGAGCATGCAGTTCCCTGCTGGCCCCTCCTGGATGTATGCCAGAATAATTTTCTCGAACAGCTTGCCCAGGATCGAGGTAAGGCTGACTGGCCTGTAGTTCCCCGGGTCCTCTTTCCTCCCCTTTTTGAAGATGGGAACCACGTTGGCCCTCTTCCAGTCCTCCGGCACCTCTCCAGAGCACCACGAGTGTTCATAAAGCCGTGCCAGGGGACTTGCAATGACCCCAGCCAGTTCCTTTAGGACTCTAGGGTGAAGATCATCTGGGCCGGCTGACTTAAAAACGTCCAGCCCCTCCAGAAGCTCCCTAACTAAATCCTCACTCACTCTAGGCCCAGAACTATCCTCATCTCGTTACTGATTTTTTTTTCCCAAAACTAACTAAACTAACTAAACAAAACACTGACACAGTCTGACTAGATGGTTGAAACAGTATTAAATTATCACTGCAACCTGAATGCTGAGAAAATAAAAAGGGATGCTTTCAAATGTTATCCTGATTTTTTTCCACTAATTTTCTGTATCTGATCCTATAAAACTGCAAGCAGGCTGAAAATTCTAACATTAAATCACAGAACTCACAAGAGGGTAATACTGGAATATGTCGTCCAGACCAGATTTCATCAAAAAACCAGGAAGTGTGACAGATTTCAATTCTAATATAGATCACAGTAAGGTTTTTACCTTAAGGCTATAAAACTTCTCAATAAAATCTAGATTCCAGAAGATGTCTGAGATCTACACAGGAATTTCTTCGCTATGAACATGCTATATTTTTGTACAGTAGTATAATGATAGGTAGGGAAGCGAGGCATGAGCCCCAGGCACTGCCTTGAGAGATTGGGAGAGGTGCAGAATGGACCTTGGGTGATGCTTTACTGCTCCCATTCCCATGCATGTTTCCCACAACAGCTCCAGCAGCACAGAATGCAAAGAAATGGCAGTAGTGCACAGTACAGAAGCAGCAGCTAGTGGTTTGCTGCTGCTTGTGGGTAAGTCAGCTCCTTTTTTGCTGCTTTGAACTAATGGGGTTTTGGCCCTTTGACATGCATATCAGTGGCAAAATAAAAGGTGACATCTTCCCTAACAGCAGCAGCGAACCTCTGACCACTTCTCCTACACCGTAGCCTGGCCAGTTACATCTCCGTTTCTGTAGCTCATCTTCACTTCAGAAATGAACTGAAGATGCTTTATATGCAAGTACTTGGAATAATACCAATCCTTGAAAGAGTTAGGCGTTTCATTCATTACACTACTATAGGTGTTAGTGATGTTAATAGCTGTCAGAGGAGAAAGAGCCTGGAATGCAAAACAACAGCAAATAAGTTATAAAGAAACTAGCTTTCAAATAGTTATAAAATATGTATTTAGTACGCTGCTGTTCTGAGATCTCAATTAGCTATTTATACTCTTATAAAAACCACCAACCACCTCTGCTTTTCCATTTGCCCTCCAGCATAGCTTGTATTCACAAATAACTCTTAGAATTAAACCTTTCCCCATCTCAACTCCTTGAGTAAACTAGTTCTCTTACTATTATGCTCAAATCCTGCAAATCACTAATCATCATCATTTTAAATCAAACTCTATGAGAAAACAGAAAGAAACTACCATAAGCTTCATCTAAATGCTGGAATCAGGCCCACAGGAAGGCACAGTCGCACTTGAAAACATGTAGTAAAAAGGTGCATCAAACTTACCTGTCAGTATCTTTGTCTTCAGGCAGCATTGGAGGCAAAGGCAAGGGTGGCAATGTGGAGGTTGGTAGTGCAACATTTCTGTCCTTTTCCTTGGCTACTACACTTGGTGTAGACGGTTTGCTTTTCTCTTTTACAGTGACTGGTTGCTGTTTTACAGCAGTTGGTTTAGTCTCTTTCACTGCCGTAGTTTTCTGCTTGGTGACTTTATCCACAATCAAGTTATTTTCTGCCTTTGTCTCCTGAAGAGTTACCTTTGCTT